CACTCTAAGTCAGACTGATAACCAGGAACTATGGTTGGCCAAATCCGATTTTTCGTGTGCTTTGCGGCACCAGCAAGCATTCCACAAGCATCGAACTCAATGGACATACTCGCTTTAAGGGTGCCTTGCGGCTAAAATGCTACCAGCCAATGTGGCTGCATAGCACGAGGCAGGCGTTGGATGATTCCTCCAGCAGGTCAAACAAAAACCAGATGGGCTTTTAGCAAACCCCAACTGATTCACACATATAACTCTCTCGGAAGACCTGCAAGACGTCACTAGGATTGTGGATGCATTTACCGAGCCGTCCTTCGACCGGACCCACCAAAGCAAAATGGCAAGGACTTCAAACAGCACTTGTCTGTACTAGTTCGGTCTTTTCATTTGGAACCTCTCAAAGCGTTCAGCTTCTATCGAAGGTCTATCTTGTGTTGGCTTCCGTATCGAGCTCGAACAGCTCGCTCAATCAGCTGTGATTTATCGAAGCTGCGTCAGAGGGCATAATCAGATGGTATATTGCGACACAAATCCGCTGCATAAGAAGGATCGGTGACACAAACAGCTAAATGTGCTTGCCCAAGATGAAGAAACTGTCCGAACAAGTCAAGGCCCGTTGAAACTTCTGCGTGCAAATTGTCTGGTAAAGGTGCTTTCTGTGGTTGAAAAGACGTCAAACCTGGGCTGGTGATCACCCATCTGGCGCTCTGCTGTAGTGAGGTACAACAGGTGCGTGTTTGGTGCTGCATGGTCCTCTCCTCAGACAAGAAAATGATCTCGTGTTGCAAAGATTGAACAATCCAAAGAGTCTTGCGAGCCCACTCCATTCAAACGCCCACGCTCAAAATGCAGCCTGATATGCAGAGGATATGATGCGCAAATTGGGCACAGCGGGAAAGTGTGTCATCTCAAGCCGTGCAGCAAGACAATGTGCAAACAAAAAGTCGTACAAGTATTCCCAATCTGCAGCAATTTAGTCACCTCATCCAGGAGGGGTCTAGGAGGAACAGCTCTTGAGAAAGAAATATTCCGTTTGCAGTTGTGCTACAGCTGGACGTGACCAGCAATTTGGATCCTGCACGGAGAATATGCGGATCAACATGCTTTCAGGTTCACTCAAAGAACAAAATCGGCCGAGCCCAGAAATGGCAGTTGCTTCAAGAGGGAGGCCGTGTGAATCCAGTTCCTTCCACAATGTCCTTCGCCAAGCCTTTCAGTCTGCCCAATCAAGCTCCCACCAAAGCCACTCGCTGTCACAAGGAAAAAGGTGTTACGCCTGTGGCTGGTACAATCTGATGGCAGTCTGCGGGACAAGTCAGGTTGCCACTCAACCAGGTCCAGCCATGGGCTCAAAAGAACAGAATCGGCTGAACCAAAAAACAAAGTGTGGCGCTGTCTGGCTGATGTCCCCGCCCGCCTCAAAGAGCATGCGCCCAGCAAAACTCCCGACGTCTTGGCTGAGTATGGGCGTGAACTTTTTTGGGGCGGCGCTGTGCAGGGTGTGGTGGAACTCACGGAAGAGCAGCCAATTTCTCAATCCTGTCTTTTTCGCGAGGGAATGTTTCTAAAGGCATTTTCACTTGTCGATCGGAATGCGTGGCAAGGGCAGTGTCTTGCGAAATTAGTGGATTTAGCTCAGACATCCAAAGGGTATGTTCATCTGATCTCATCTATGAACAACTTCTGAAAGCATCTAAATAAACTGCACTAGCTTAGGCTGTGGGCACATGAAACATGTGTGTCACGCTGAATCAACGGAAGTCCATACAAAGGAATCTTTCGGATATCCTCGAAAACCATGGGCTGGACTCCGTGACCGATCGTCTTATGCTGAACATGGCGTCCATTGCAAGTGTCCTCTGTCTGGCAGACCAAATGCATGTTCACTTGTCAATTCCATGCACCATGCCCTCCGGAAGTCAGAGATGCTGAGTCAAACCTCAGCGATGAGCGCCGGCAAAATCGGTGCAAACTGCACACTTGGTCCGACTCGCGGCTCAGGACAGTCCAGCGTATGTCTTGAGTGAGGAATCTCCTTGAACTGCCTCCTTCTCAGCTTGCGCCTAGAGCGTCTCGAGGACTGCCAGCAACCCAAAGCTCCTAAAGTAGAGGAGTCCTCTCTGGCTCTTGAGACGTAAGCAAGTGGAAAAACCTTTTTCACCATCACAAACTCATGACCTCTTCGCGTCACAAGTTCTTGCTCTGGAGGGAGGGACTAAGATTGGAGGTCATACGTGGAAATGTGTTCAGGTGCTTCTGCAGTTCCACGCAAGCATCGAACCGCAAATAAGTCTACATGGAAGATCCGGAATGTATCTGCACTGGAAAAATTAATGATGGGTTGCAAACGATCAGGTCACAGCACATAAAGCCTTCAATTGATTAATGTAGCGATGTCCGACCTTTTTTGGGGCTCCGCGCCATTGCCCATCCACCGGCTCATATCATGCTGAATCTGGATGTTTGATGCGAACGTCTGGGCTGTTGCCAGGTTCGCATACGCACTGCAATCTCGACATCCACAGAACTGACTTAACGCTCTTGTTCAAAGTCGAAATCCCGCTACCTGAGCTGCTAGGCCTGTCTCTCTTCGGACGAGAAAATCGCACTCGTCAGCGTGGTAAACTCCCCAGGGTTCGGCACATCTATGATCTTTGGAGTTGCGAATCGGATCATCGATGACGGTCTTCATCTCCTTTGATCACTTCTTGCAAATCCTTCAGCTGTTCCAAATTGCAGCGGAACTTGGGAAATACTTGCCGGCCCTTCGCATGGTGCAGAAAATGTGCCTGGCCACTTGCCGCACCATGTTTTCTTGCCTTGCACACCGGCTGTAGCAGGCTACGACCAGCTGGATGCGGCCGAGTCTGCGTGAAATCCGGACCCTTTCGACTACCTCTCTTTTCGCCTCCTGCGGGAGCTCACAGCCTCAACGTTCTCCGGTTGCTTGACGAAGCTGGAGCTCGGTTTGCTTCCCAATCCTCGGTGGAGGCAAGACTGCTCCGAGTTTCGCGTTCAGCTGGGTGGGTTCGGCGGGTTCGTGTGAAGGGTCGTAATTTGAGCCGAACACATCCGGGGTACTATCGTTGTGTTTCTCTTCCTTTCCTCATGGAAAGTTCCTAAGGCCTTTTCCCTTGGAGAGAGTCCCATGAAATTTGACCAATCCAACACCTCATGCGTTTTTGTCAGCCTCCCTCCTTTCGCATCCGTCGGTGGTCGTGCGCGTGCCGTCCGGTCGCGCTGTCTGGTCCGGCGGCCGAGACTCACCTCTGATGTCCGTGATAACAGGGTCCCTTCACGGTGGAAACTCAGAAAGTTGTCTTCACAGGAACACCAGGAAGAAAGTTGGCCCAGTTCCTTGAGTATAGTCTTCCAAGGGTTCCATTCTTCCCAGTTTCCACGAGTGTTGGACTTCTCCAAAAAAATCACAAAACCTGGACATAGATGACATAGATCCTTCAAGGACTCTTCAAGGACGAGTCTTGCGTCGCTTGGCGCCCAACAGAGCGGTGTTCAGCTTCCGATTTGGAGAGAAGCTTTACTTCAGCTGAACCAACCGGTGGGGTGACGTGCTTCACCAGTCGCTGACCAAGCTGACCTCTTCGCCAGCAAACTGCAAAACCCTGATCAGAGAGGTGCTTTGTATGCTCGAACACCCTATTGCTTTCTGGTGCACACGACGTAGACAAATGCACCAAGTTCCCCAAATTCAATACGTAATTCGATCATTTTGGACCGCACGATCGGATGTACCAGGCGCACAGCACGATCGCACTACAAGGTCTGTTTCTACTTTCGGTAAGAGTACGGCGGCGCTTGTGGTTCAAATAGAGATCTTTTGAATCTGCGAGTCCTCACGCTTTGATACAGTTCCTTTGCAAGTAAAACATAACCTTCTTCTTTGGGTATTCACCTGGCGCGTCAGGTCACTCGCTATCGCACTACAGCCGGAGAGCACCAAAGAATGGTTTCCAGTGGCGTTGACCCCAAACACATCTCTTCGAAAAGGGGGAAGATCAAAACGAAGCGTCCTTCTGACCATCTCCTTTGCCAAGCGTTGTTGGACTCCAGGCACAAAAAGCATGCAACATGCAAAAAGTGAGAGATGGTCCTAGTGGAGACAAAACTAATCAAAACTCATCAAAACTCCCTTTGTCGGTGACGCCCCTGCCACAAGAAAAAATAGCATGTGGTCAAAGAAGGTGATGCCCTGCGGCACATATGTGGCACATGTCCAAAATCCTCACAATCCTCATCATCCAAGCGTCCAGGTGGTACTCAGCATGAGACCCTTGCGCAAGGCCGTCACGGCCCGTTCCGCGTCCTCGTTCGGTTGGCGGCCGCCGTTCGACGAAGAGCTGACCGGAGGGATGAGCCATATACTTACTCGGGGTGTGAGGACACCTTCAAAAAGACCCCTTACATGTAGGGAAAGAAGAGAATGAGACATGCATTGGTGGGAAGATCGTTTTAGAAAACATATGGGGAGCTCCAGCACCCTGGCAGTTTCAGCTGGAGAAACAATGAAGACACAATCACAGCATCTCTCCAAGGGGACCGCGAAAGAAACCTCTAAGATTAGATCGGTGTCAGTCCGATCACAGCATCGGCAAGCCAGTCCGTTCAACGACTTCCAAGCCTTTGGAAATCAAGTGCCATCCAAGGCACTTGGTGTTCGCCCTTCAACACCCTAATTTCCATGCTGCCGGCACCACTAGTGGTACAGTATATTCGTGGTTTAAGGGGGGTGTTGGGCTGACCCAGGGTGATGCGAAGTTTCACGCTGATTGATATTTCACTGGGTAGTTGGAGCAAGATCCCTGCAAAGTTCCATCCTGCATCATTCAAATTCAATCTTTTCCTGTACAAACGCTGGCAACATCCCGTGAACAGAAAGTGCATCTTGTGCAATGCCGCTCCTCTTGATTCTGAAACTGGACAAACGCCACATCGGTCTCCGGATCACCTGCACAATGCGACGCCAAAATCCTTTGCAGCTCGATTGAACAACTGCACAAACGACAAAGAAAGAGACCACTTTACTAAGACCACAAGCAGTGGAGTGCAGGGGCTCTTGGCTTCACCCACTGAGCCTAACATGTCCAAAGAGCCCTGGCCAGGAGCCAAAATATGGGACCAACGTGCTCGAGTACTTGGTTAACAGCTTTTACAAGCACTGGTGGATGCCATCAGTGATCCTGAGTGCCAGACACCTGCTGTACCAGCTATGATTGCTGCTGTGAGGGGAAGTTCTTCTTTGGGGTGCTGGGCTAAAAAAAACAAATCAAACAAGGTTTTCTCACTAGACCACATGGCTGAACAGCAGTGCCATTGTTCATTCATGTTGAGACGCATGCCCATCATTGATCGCTGGCCTGCCACCCAGTACGATTCATACATAACTCCTTGGCGTTTGGCCTGTGGTGGGTCGCTTCTTGCAGTAGGCGACATTCCCAAACTCCTTCTCCATGGACTGCCTCAACTCAACTTCAAGAGACCACGAGTCGACCCCATGTCAGATGCCAACTGAGGTGGAACAAGTGTGTATGCTGAACGATGGCCGTTTGGGATCAAAACGGATATATAACCAACCCCAACTTGCCATAAAAGGGAAGCATGATGAATCAACCTCAAACAAAAGCCTTCTTCAAATAATCATCAGCTGCTGCCAAACTTACGGAAGCAGCATCCGTGATTGACACATCGAGGTCCAACAAAAATAGGCGTTCCAAAAATGGACCCACAGAACTGGGACAGTCTGACATCTTGATGTCATGAACTCGCGAACTCCCAAGGAGCTTCGACAGAACTGCCACAGACTCGATGGGGTCACTCTGGTTCTATACACCTGTGTTGCTTGGGGTC